CTATCTTCGGCTCCGCTTGTGACGTCACCGCGCATGGCTGCCAGGATGCGGGGTGATTACTCGCCTATTACGCGAGCGTTACGTTACCGCTGAGGGGTGGGAGGGGAGCGCTGACTCACCCGCCGCGTCACTGCTGGTGTGGGGGGGGCTCGGCTTTGCGCAGCATGTCACAATATATATACACACACACACGAGGCTCATCCAAAAAGTAAGTTTCCCTGGGGCCGTTTACAGAAACAAAATATAATTTCACAGAAATATTTATTTCAACAGATACAGCAAGTGTTCAGCTATTTTTCAACATAATTGCCACCAGAACTGAGACATGTGTCATACCATGGGACCAACTTTTGAATACCTGTGTCGTAGAAGTTTGCCGCCTGGGATTGGAACCACTGTGTGACAACCATCTCCGCCTCTCTGTCATTCTCAAAACGCTGACGCTCACCAGACAGGAATTTCTTCAGGTGTAGGAAAAGATGAAAATCACTGGGAGTGAGGTCTGGGCTGTAGGGTGGATGATTAAACACCTACCAGCTGAACTCCTGCAGGAGACTTGCTGTCCGTCGAGCTGTGTGTGGCCTAGCGTGTCGTGCAGGAAGACAATACCAGCACTAAGTATCCCGCACCGCCTGCTCTGAATGGCCTGTCACAATTTCTGCAGTGTTTCACAGTAACGCTCAGCATTCACCGTCTCATCTCTGGTCAGGAAGTCGAAGTGGAAGTCTGTCCCAGAATGCCATGCACATCACTTTCCGCGCTGAATTTCATCTTAGAGGGAGATCCACTGTGACGCCAATGCATTGACTGCTGCTTGGTTTCTGGGGTAATGTGTGCAATCCACGTTTCATCACCTGTGATGATCCGGCCTAGAAACTCGTCGCCATCATCATGGTACCGCTGCAGAAATGTCAATGCTGACTACATGAGCTTTGTTTTGTGTTCTGGTGTCAGTTGCTTCAGCACCCACCTGGCGCACAATTTCCTGAACAACAGTTGCTCCATGACAATTTCACGCAACAAGGAGCGGGAAATCTGGGGGACATGACTGCTGAGTTCCGTAATTGTGACGCGACGATTCTCCATAATGCACTTCTGCACAAACTCCACCAGGTTGTCTGTAATGATGGATGGCCGCCCACTGCACTTCTCATCATGCACACTTTGTCGTCCAGCTGAAAATTGTCTGCATCAGCGACGCACCATCTGCTTGCTCATGACGTTAGGCCCATAGACCTGGCACAGCTGATGATGAATTTCAATCGGCGCTATGCTCTGTGCATTCAAAAACTTTATCACTGACCACACTTCACAGTCGGCGGAAGCTGGAATAAGAGCCTCCATCTTCAACAGCTGCAACAATGCTACTGTGGGAACGTGGAAATTCTGTTAGTGCATGCACCATGCTACGTCATTGCTCTATCATGTACGCGCAGTCGCTTCGCGCAATATAAGATTTGCTAGCTATGGGACGAGTGGGAAACTAACTTTGTGGATGTGCTACGTATATATGGATGGTCACCCTAAAGGCATCCACAACATGAGCAAACAAATTTAGTTTTGAAGAATGCCATCTTCTGGGATGTGGCACCAAGCAGCTGTAGTGTAAACAGACGTTTAGCAGGAACATATCACCTCCATCTTAAGGGTACATTCCTCCGAAACGTCAGTTTATACAGAGTGGGGCGCAGAAACTTCCTTCTTTTTTGAATGTGAATAAAAGAAAAATTATTGCTGATAGAGAAAATTTATGTTTAGCAAATGAAAGAACAAACTTCAAAGTTTTAAATCATGTAGTTTTAAACAAAATATCTTGAAGGTGGTGGCCACCGTTCTCTACGCACTGATGCAACCGTTTTCTGAAGTTCCCCTCTGCACATTCCAACATGTGCACCGGAATTTGGGCTACTTCCTGCCGAATAACATTCTTCAGCTGAAGCAGGTTTGTGGGGCAATGTTTAAAAACCTCTGCCTTGAGGTAACCCCATAGGAAAAAATCACAGGGCGTTAGATCAGGTGAGTGTGCTGCCCACGGGATGTCACCTTGAAGCGAGATGAGCCGTCCGGGGAACTTTGTCCTCAAAACTGTCATCGAAGCTTGAGCTGTGTCGGCTGTGGCACCATCCTGTTGGAACCAGACATTTCCTAGATGCAATTCTTCAAGCGCTGGTTTGAAAAAGATCTCAAAATCGACAGTCAAACTGCCTCCATATTTTCTGGTGTCGTAACAGTCTGTTGTTGTCCTGTTGATTTTTGCACCACACTCCCGGTTGTCCTGAAGTTCTCTACCCACAAAACAATCGATTTCAGGTCGGGAACCGGACCGCTGGGCTTAATTCTTAAGTGAGTATGGAACGCATGCTGCACCGCCATGTAGGAATGGTTTGTTTGGAAAATAGGCTTTGACAGCAAACGCACGCTCCTCACTCGTCCACCTCATGTTTCCTACTGAGGGGTATTAGACAGAAACTTACACGACTGCTGTGTTCGCCGAGCCTATCCCAACTTTTCTGCAACCTCCCCTCCCTTCACAATGCATCTTCACAAAAAGGAAGTTTCTGCACCCCACCCTGCACTAGATCTACACAACACCACATCCAAGAAGACAGCATTCTTGACAGTTACCGCTGTGAAAACCTCAAATCTTATAAATTTAGTTTTTATGAAGAAATAAGAAGATACACAGACATCAAATCTCATTGCAGGAATAGAAATCAACCTCTATTCAGACACAACTATGAATATTTCCCTTTATAATGACATTGATAAAGGGTACTTACAAGCTCCTTTCTTGGACCGGGTTCCATGTAATAAGCGTATGGATAAGTGTACTGTAAAGTGTAGCGGCACTTTGCAAGCAAGGATGCGGCATCAAGTAGATACTGCCAATCTATCCAAGTTCCAGAAGCATTCATAACTTTCTTATTTATGCGAGTCTTGATCTTCTGCAAAGTCTGTTCCTCCAACTTCAAGCTCTTGGAATGATTTTCCCACTACAATAAACCACAACATTCAATAGCAGTCTGAGAAGGATGGCTGAAGTACGTTTGCATTTAGAAGGTACCTGTCTGAGTATCACTAAGATTGCTTGTGGTTTTCCTCAGCTCCTCCAGGCAAATTAACCCATGACTGCATACTCCCACATGTTTCCCAAGTCATCATTCAGTATCAGTTCCATCATTTGACCCTTGAGAGTCTAAGTGTCATTACCTTTAAGATACGGACTTTCAAATTGCCGGGAGCCCTAATTAATTAATATTGCAAACTTTCAGAAAAAATACATATTTTCCATTCTATGTGACATAGAAATAAAAACTAAACAAAAACCTGAAAGACAATACAATTTTCTACATATACACAGAAGAGCAATTTTTACAAACGAAAATTAACTGTGGTTATCTTGTCATGAAATGCAAAATATAATCTTTATTACATATGTTATGAGATTCTGAAGGACTTACCCGTTGCTTTTTCTTAAACCTTGAATCATGGTGATATTGTAAATATAACCACACTATACACAATAATATTTTGTTCAGACTGTATACAAGTTTGAACTGTGTCACCTCACAGTTTACGATACACTCTGACGCGTGTGGCACTTCTCGAAGCAGTCCACCTCACACCACACAGACCAACATCACCCTTTTTACAATAGAAGAGCGTGCTCCTGCTTTTCTTATTTAGCGAAACACACGTCTTTGTTTCCCTTTGGTTAGCCAGTGTTGTGATTGTTTCACCTCCAGTTGACTCAGCTGGGCCCCAGATAACCTTGGCCTCNTGCCACTGACCATGATATTCGCCTCGTGCTATTGAAGAATCATCTTGGGGGAAGGGGGTTTCTAGCAACATCGAATAAATTATGTTGATTGACAAAGCGACACTCTCACCTATTAGTAATACTCGCAAAATAATTATAATACTAGTCAAAAAGAGTGCCAGTCCAACACTGATACCAAAAGTTGCAGTGGCAAAGATGCCTTTTACTCACAAAGTAATACCGGCTCAGTGGGTTTATACCTCTTCCAAGTCACAAAATAAAAGTGATTTACAAAGAAATATATGACAGTGTGACACTGACTTCTTAACTGATAAAGAAATATTAGAAAATACAACACTGACTTCCTAACTGATAATGCATCACACTTCACTGAAGGCTCTGGAAGCACTCATATGTAAGCACTGATGAATATTTCCTCATCAGTTCTCGAAACAAAGTTGGGCTATATTGGCTGACCAGGTGATAAACAGTCATATCTGAATGTAAATAGTATCTAAACCAGTACCCTGAGACGCGATTTCATTGTTCAGAGCTAAGGAAAGAACCACTGACATGACCTCACATAGGTTTGCTTTGGTTTCAAACTGAAGGTCAAACTGTCAGCACTCCCAAAGAGAGCACGTGTCCTGCCACATAACATTCAGCCAACTGCTTGCTGCATATATATATATATATGTATATACACATATATATAAAACATTTGGCATTAACATGGGTCCATAACATGTCATCTAAAGTACATTAAATCTCTGTATCCTTGGTATTCCAAGAATTTAGTTAATTCTGAGTAGTGACATTTTCATATTTATTTGAATTCCTATGCCTACAGTAGGCTGATATTTATGTTGTGGTTTTCTGAGACCTGATGCCATGTAGTTTGGTAGATAGCCATCTCTCTCCCTCTCTCTCTCAAATAATGTTAGTAACTATGTTGCCAGTAACAGGAATATGTGTGGTTCAGTACCTTAATGTAAGCCTTATTTAGAAAGTTGATTATCCTGGAAGTATGAGAGCAATACTAAAAGTAATAAGGAGCATTAGTTTATGTATGTTTTTGGCTTGTTGAAACTATGAGTTATTATGGAAATAGTTTTCAGGGATGTAGAGGGGTGCATTCTGGTAGAATTCCTGCCCAGAAAGGAAACTGTCAATGTAGTTTGCTGTATGTAGACACCCCAGAAACCACGACATGCACTTTATGACAAGTGCTTAATGAAAAGACTCCATATTCTTCAGCATGATAATATGCGCATGCCCTCTGTATGTCTGACATTGGGAAAAATTGAAAAGTTTGGCTGGGAAGTGCTCCCTCATCCTTCCTGCAGCCCAGACTTGACCCCTTTGTATTACCACCTGTTTGTGCTCTTGAAAGACTAGGTGAGGAGTCAGCACAGTGAAAATGATGAAGCAGCTCAGCAAACCATGCACACATTGTTGAATAATATTGAAATGGAATTCAACCAAAACAGCATATTCAGGCTTGTGCAGAACTGGCAGAAATACTTCAGTTGTTCTGGAATAGTGATGCGAGATCCCCAGTAACCGACAACAGTGTCTGTTTTTGTTCATGAACGTTTCCTTTAATATAGAATGTATGTGCTTATGACTTTCAGTATGGCCCATGTAATTTCTTTTTCTGTTGTCTGGGCAAAAATATGTACAACACTGCTTCTTTATTCACTTGTAAAGGAAAAGTACTTACTATGAAGATTTGTTACCGCTAAGCACATAAATAAGTCAGAAGGAGACTAACGAGGAGGAGCGGAAACCTCAGTGGGGGACAGTAGTAAGATAACAGTTATATAGTAAAACAAAATACAGTATAAGAAGTGAAAGACAGGTAGAAATGTTTGCCAGAAATAAGACAAAGCAAGGGGATCTGTACAAGGAAAATGTTCCCAGGATCTACTAAACTATTTTTAGACCTTTTAGAACTACTTTTACTATGTATTGTAATTGGGTATCTTGTATGTTTATGTTGCTTAACATTTGTAGTTTTAGTAGAAGTTTCAAAGTTTTGGTGTGTCCGTCTGAATGTATAGCACCGATCACTGTCTGTCCATTTCAAGCATTGCATATATAAAGGAAATTGTTTCAAAATTTCCTGCAAATGTAAATGAATTCTTTGTTAACCAGTTTTTGTTTGAAGGCAGTAGCTTAAAAAGTGTATTTAATACAAATTCTGTTGTGACACACTGCAGATTTGAGCATTTAAATTTAAAACTCCAACCATGATTAAGCACACATTAATTTAAGTGCCATGTGGTAAAGGTTAAGGCAATTGTCCTCCAGCTGGCAGTTCCTCTTTTCTCTCAGTAAGTAGAAAAAGCTTAGCTTTGAAGATGTGAATGCATTGTACTAGAAATATCAAGGAGCATAGAATATAAACATTCTAAGAGAAATGTTTTTAGACTGATTTACACTGCTTGATTTCATAATTTCCTTACAGATTGAACAGACTTGTTGGTTGTTTTATTGTTTATTTAACCTTTAACCGTTCAGCGTGGTTTGACGTGTATGTTTTGTCAAGGTATTTAAATCGTCTGCGGGGCTTCGACGTCAATGTTTCGTCCAGCTGCACACCTATGTTATAACGCCCATAATAATTGATGGTTTTGCTGTAGATTGTTAGATTTTTCGCTGGCCTGTTGTCAGTAGATCAGAGTATAATAAGCCACGAGTTTAGCTGCGCTAAGTCATCGTTACATATGCCTGTCTTGCAGCAAATTTCCTGTTGCTCTTGCGAGCGGTTTCTTCGTTCTACTGTTATGAATGGCGTGTTTTCTTTCCTATGAAGTTATAAACAGCAGAGACATGATATGTGCTGTGTTTATAATATCATATTGCCCTGAGCTGGCCACACTAACACACTCAATTGGAATTCTTAGAAGAGGGATGTCCAAATTTTATTCTTGCAAGATCGATTGATTTCGCACAGTACATGGCAGCCAGTTCTTAGAAAAACGCCACAAATTAAGGCAGAACACTGTGGTCACCCCCTGTGACGATACGGGTGTGTGTGGGGGAGGGAAAAGAACTCATTCCTTCATGTATTATCGCTCCAGTTGACTCCATTTTATCGTACTGACCTTGGTGGTCGTTTCGAGGGATGACCATAAATATTTTTTTGAGCCAGCTAAGCTCTGCTTTCATTCACTACATACCAGCCAGTTCTTAGAATAACTTCATGAATTCTGTGGTCACCCCTACGACGTCTTATGCCGCCAAAATGGATGGAAAATGAAACGCAGAAGCACCAACACTTGTTATGATAACATAAAGGTTGAATTTACTGCAGCTAATCTGCCTAGCGATACGACTCACGGAGAGACATTTCTTCTTATATTTCCCCCACGGGGAAGTAGGCAAGGCCGCACAGAAGATGTTTTGTTTACGGAAAAAAGAGCCAAATGAGAGATACGCAGTACTGGTATGGTGATGTGAGTCAGCGCTGTGTATAGTAGAATGCTTCAATGCGTGCAACACTCCGCTCAAATTCTGAACCACTACCGAGATACCGGGCGCTCATATTATAAGGCAAAGTTATAAAACAATCTTTTAAGATCATTTTAGTGAAAGTTTCATGCTTCAAGGCGTACGATACACTGCTCAAATTCTAAACGAACTGCTTCCATTGCCGAGATACCGGGCGCGCATATTATAAAGCAAGGTTATAAAACCACCTTTTAAGATCATTTTAGTGAAAGTTTCATGTTCCTATCTCATAGAATTTAAGAACAATGATGAATAAATCATTTTCGAGCAAAATTTAAATGGCCGGCTGAATATATTACCGCCGGAGACGCGGCCGCGGAATTTAAATGACTGCGCCAAAGGGTTAATTAGGTTTATTAAAATTTACAACAAAGCAATACAGTCAGTCCATAAAACAGCAAGAAATCTTACTACTCAAAGACAGAATGGTTTCTAAACAAGCATCACATAGTCAATACTATCACATTTTAAAAGCTTGGCATCAATGGAAGTTATTTTATCATTTAACAATTGCTGTAACATTATAAAACAAAACCAACATACTCGTTCATAATAGTGGAGGTACTTCTTGAGAGCTTCACGTGCCTGAGCATGGACAGACTCATGAGCAATGCTCGGATTCTCTTTGTATCGGGAACACTCGTAGTACTCTGAACCATGGGATTTCCAGTCTCCCAGACACATCCAGCAGAAATCATGTTTGCAGTTGTAACACTGCATATGATTGCATCCTCCATTTTTCTCAATACAGATGTGACAACGTGGACACTGAAATCCAAAGTTCAGATTAATACACCACAATCATGTAACCTCTGCTAAAATAACATTTAATGTATTCTCAACTTTGGTAATAGCAGGAAGTGGGTGGTTAACTTCATGTTACAGCCACCTTTACCCTAGATGTTACAACACAAAGAAAAATCCCATGCATGGAAACTGACCCCAGTGGTCTATTTTATGCCCATTTCTTCACTGAGCGAGCTATAAAACAATCCCCCCTGAAGTCACTGATGGTTAACAAACAGCCCTTCATAACCAACTATTCAAATGCTTCAACCATATTTTGGTCTGGTGACCAAGGAGGTTGGAGAAAATTACATAATGAGGAGCATCATAATTTGTACACTTCTCCAAGTATAATTAGATAAGTCAAGGAGGATGAGATGGGCAGGGCATATAGCATGAATGCAGAAGAAGAGGAATGTATATACGATATTGTTGGGAAAGCCAGAAGGAATGAGACCACTGGGAACACCAAGAGGTAGGTGGGTGAACTATATCGGATCTTACAAAGATAGGATGGGATGGCAAGGATTGGACTGATCTGGCTCGGGATAGGAACCAGTGGAGTGCTATTGTGAACACAGTAATAAACTTTCAGGTTCCATAAAATGCTGGGAAGTTCTTGAGTAGCTGCGCAACTGGCAGCTTCTCGAGAAGGGCTCAGCTCCACGTGTGTGTGTGTGTGTGTGACCAATTTAAGATCTGCTAAAGGTTTACAGAATTAGCACAATCTCCTTGTAGTTTATAATTCAAAAGGTGGACTAAGATGAACCATCTTGCAAATTTATGAGAAACCTGAAGGAAATTCGTTCTCTTTGGACATTTTTATCAAACTGATAAAAAAAGTGTATTGCTATTCACAAAACATAAACATAAAATCATTCCGAAAGTACTGGAAGTAGTGCCATGCTGCAAGGTATCTGTGGTACCTCAAAAATGGCATCACATCCGAAAACAAGTACAGCACATTATAATGAATGAAATGGCAGCATGGAATGTGTGAAACAAAGCTTAATCACTCTCCCATCCTTGAAGATCGGAGCTGAAAAACCTAATAAGTTACTGATTTGGCCATACTGGTGCACAGTGTCACAAGTGAGCATGATGTCAATGCATAGAGATACTCCACTGCATCCAGCAGCCAGTCAAACAGTTCATGTTTGCAGTGGGCAAGGCACAAGCAACAGATTTAATTCAACAGAAGGTTTGAACCACAGTTTAGTTTCAGAATCAAACTTGCATATTAAGTTACTGAATCACTAGGCAACATAGAAAGTTATTACTCAAAAATGGAGATTTAATTTAAAGAAGTTTCTTACATCATTAAGCACAATGATCCATAATTATTTTGTTTACCAATTGATCAATGAGAAAGAATGATCTTTGTTCATATTCTATTCTATGGTGGGATGTTTGATAATAAACCTATCAGCAAAAAATTTCTGTAAAGGTTCTACAATGTTACCAGGCAAGACACTTGAACATCACTCCATGGAGATTTCCAGAGACCTAACAGTCACTAGCAGCACTGTACATTCTACTTACAGTACTGAATTGTTATTACAAGAATGAACAAAGATTTTATGTGCACAAAGAACAAAGAGTACTTACATCATTAACATCACTAAGACTTACATCTTTGGTATGAGCGCTGATGTAATTTGCTGTTTCACTGTCATCAGCACATTTTGTGAGCCACTTTTTGATAGTTGCACAATCTGTTGGAGCATGATAATCTGTCCCACACCGAAAACTGAAAATATAAAATCACCATGGTAAACAACACTACCAACCAATGAAGGAAAATGAGATGAGCTTCTCAAGGAATCGAATCTTAAGATTACACTCATCTTGGTTGTGACATGATGTAGTCTGGTAGATGTACCAATTTTTTAATTAACCTGCTACCTCCCTTAAGATTGAGACAACAGGTTCATTCAAATGACTGGTACATCTGCCAGACTATATCATGTCGCACCCAACAAAACTGTACTCAGAATGAAAGAGACTAATTTCATATTACTGTATTCTTTTGTTCATATTACCAGTACACAGTGTTCACCATTCATGCATTAGTGATAATGTTAACAGCCTGGTTAGCACAAGTCACCAGGGATTCTTAACCGGCTACCACCAATAGCAGTGGTTGCCACTCAAGCAAATATGGTATCCATGAACCAAAGACAGCTCACAGTGTCTAAGCAAACAGTAGGAATACCTTGCTTCCCTCCAACACATGACACCTAATTAATTTGAGGAATCAAACTATTGAATATATAGATTTTCAACATACACTTCACAGAAATATTTAATTTTCAAACGCATGACTTAAGTCTGTTAGATATGATCACTTTGTTACTTTACTGTCTAATGTTAAAATATAATGCTAGAGTTGGCAATGTCGTAGTAAAACCGATTTTATTAATTCACTTGGATTGTGCTAAGAATAATGTTTCCAAATGATGTTCTCAATAATAATAATTTTTATACTGATTAATGAATAAGTATTTTTTAAACTCCCAAAATTGTCTAAGGGTAAATGTTATGTTGGCAACTCTCTAATGTTAAAATATAATGCTATAGGTGGCAATGTTGTAGTAAACAATTTTCAATAATAGACTGCGCTACATGCGCTGTTCCTAATTTCTCTACTGTTATGTGTTACTATGGTTATGTGTGTAAAAACAGAATCTCTCTATTGTTATGTGTTACCATGGTTGTGTGTGTGAATATATATAAAAATATATATAGAACGTTTTTGTGTGTCAAATGTTAGTCTTAATAAAGCAGGGTTAGACTGAACACCGATTCTTACTTATCATTCGATCCACGTAGAAGTAACAAAAATAACACACTTGGCCCACAGATTCAATATTTCTGCTCTGATTAACAGTGAGAGTGAAAAACACACATTTACTGTATTGTCTTTGTTAGTTCAAATTATCTGTCATATGTCACCAGTGGAAGATGTGTGTAAATTAAAATGGACACTGCATATAAATGAAACAAAATATTTTTACTACATGAAATTCCACATGGAAAGGATTTAATTCTTATTTAAACCTCCAGCAATGAATGGAATAACAAAGCAATCCTCTACTGGAGCATAGAAGCACAGTTTTATAAATGAGATAAAACCTTCAGTGTATCATGCTATATACTAGTTAACTGGTTCTAGTTGATCTGGTGGCATGGTCCAGGCACTGGCAAAGGTGTCTTTCTGCTAACCAATGCTAGCACTAGTTTCCTTTGCCATTGTTCAATGTTGTTACGTCACTGTACCAGGTTTGACAGTTTTTTATTCTGGTTACAGCAACTACTTATCACTTTAATCTAGAATAGGAAGAACACATTCTTTTCATATTGATGAAGTCTAGTTGTGTATGCATCATGTGTCATGCAAGCATGGTACTCACCAAGAATGCAAGAGGGTATTTTAAAAGCATGCATGGAAATTTTGATAAAGACTATCCCCTGAAGAGCAAACTTATGTCTTATATACTGATGATGCTATCTTTTATTACTGTTACTTACTATCATTCTTTTGCAAATGGACAAAAGTTCATCTAAAATATGGTGACCACTCATAAATGCACTAAGCAAGAATCACTGTTATACCCAATTTTATGAACAACGGCTGGCAGGATTTAGGTGTACTTACCAGAATGCTGTTCTACACAAATTGCAGATGGCTCGTTTCGCCCATGGTTCCTTAGCTCTTATAACGACTTGGCAGTTGGGTCCGGGACAGAATCGTAATTGTGGGTGTGACTTAACATAATCCCGAAATGCAAACTGCTGATACTTGTCGCGAGTACTTGGCCGACTTAACAAAGTCAACACAAAATCTTCTGGGGCCAGAACTTCACATTCTTGAGCCATACATCCAATGCCTAGTCAAATAAAATCCAAAACGTATGTAAATAAAAACTTCCACAGTCAGACCCTTCAAACTGTAATACGTGTGTGGGATTGTCGATATTCTAAAAGACAACCACGTAAAACTGTAACAACAGTATATATTAAATTGTATAAATTGAACGTACAGAATAGCTGTGAAGCTATGTGGAATGTTGATGTTCAAAAGTTGGCTGGCCCTGAAAAGGGCAGTTTGTTCCACCGTGAGTGCACTGGCAGAATTTGCTCCTTTGTAGTAGACCAAGTCTTTACGGCCGTTCAGCTGGTTTGTTCGGCCTGTGATGTGGTGCTGCGTGCGCCAGTAGGAACAGCTGTCTACGGTGCAGGCTGGAGAGTTGCGGCAGCTACGTTAGCCGTCTGGTAGCAGAGTGTGGTTGCAGGAGAGCTGCGGCAACTATGTTAGCTGCCTTTGGTGCAGTGAACAGCTGATGACTCTGATGACTGATCGTTCTGAACTGAATGTGATCACTGATGATTGCAAGCTTTGGGCTCCATCCTTTACACCATGCTTGCCAGGTGGAGCTTAAACTTGCAGTTGTGATTGTGAGTGCTGATTGGCTAGCACGTGCTATGATGTGAAGGTGGGCTTGACAGCGAGTGCTGTATAAATATGAGCGTTGGTAGCAATCTGATATTGACTGAGTTGAGTGCTGTCTGTTAGACCAGTGAAACCGCGTGTTAGTATGTGGGATGTTCCCACATGTGTAAAGTGCAAAATAACAATTCAACACACCTTTGCTTGAGAAAGTTAGAAAACTAGTCCTGCTCGGTTTGAGAGACAGAAGCAAGCAAAAATACTTCCCTACTGTGGCATAAATAAATGAAAAATAAATAATACTGTGACATGTTGACCCCTACCTCCCCAGCAGCACGTAGCGGTAACATAGCGCACGCGTAATAGGCGAGTAATCCCCCCGCAACTCTCCCCGCGGTGACGTCACGAGCGGAGCCGACGTTAGCCGAGTCCCCGCAACCTTGAAGCTACGCAAAGCGGGTCAACAGCGGTGACGTCACCGAGGGATATCGCGGTTGCTAGGCAGCAGTCAACAACTCCGGACAGTGTGGCTAGCAACACGGCACCAGACGACAATTGTCCGATCGAGGCTACATGAGGAGCAGCGAAGGCTATTCACAGTTAGTCCTGGAGCTACCTCCGAGTTAGTTGCGAGTTAGCCAGCAACTAGTCAGTTGTATTGTGGCATTTGGAGTGTACTAATTGTGATACTGCAGATAGCAGTAATCGTAAATCTGTAATTTGGGTGATTGTAAGTGCGAACGTGAAATAAAATTCGCTACATCAAATACATCGTGAAGTTATTTGTCGCGATATACGCCCAATACGTTACAATACCAATGACAGACTTTACAGAAGTTGCCAACTGCAAGGTATGAAAACTCTCATATCACTGTTAGTGAGTTATAGGACTCTTGAGACACTTCAGTACAGTAGTAAGAGTGAAGCATTATGAGTGATACTCACCTGTAGAGATTCCCTGAGTTATCTGAACCTCAAAATGCATAGTCCAGCAATCTTTACAGAAAAGGTGACCACAAGCAAGACTGCTGAACATGTCACTACTCTGTGATGCCACACACACAGGGCACACCTGATGCCGCAAATGCCTTGAGGCAACTGATTCTGGAGGATGTGGTGGTTTTATTTTTGACATCACCAAAAGTTTGCATGAATCTCCACGGTATTTAACAATAATATCTTGTATTGCCCATTCATGAGCATGCAGAAGGACTTTTGCCAATGATGGTGTTATCTGCAAGCAAGAAAATCAGCAAATGATGATTTTGATATATCCTGATATCTTCCTGAAGAGATCAGTGAAAATTCCCCATAAGATCTGTCAGAATACGCATCCAAATTCCAGAATCAGTGTTTATCTCTAAAATACAATCTAGCTACATTCAGTATATGAACCTACTACCTCCGAGTAAAGTAATGAGTATATACAGTATATGGAAATATACACAGTAAACTATTTTGTTGTTCACTGAGACACCAGTATACCCAGGATATAAAGGTAAGTCTAGAGAGTAAGGCCTGAAAGTTCAACATGTAGTGGCTCTTGAAATTATGGTGTTTCCATCATAAGAAGTTCCCAGCTTTCCCCTTTAAGAAGTTTGATTTCTAAAGAACATCAATATGGCTGAAACATATTATGTTACAATTTCCCACACTAGTAAACGCCTGATTATCCAGTATCCAAGCACCTGGAATTCTTGTACTAGCAAAAAATTCTGAAGAAAATTTATAACTTTCATGAAGCAGTTCAAAAACAAAGATGTGATGCAATAATATTAACCTGCCTTGTAGTAGTTTTTCCAGCCACCACTAGCAGCACTTCCAGTAATCCTCAATCACACAGGTACCATTAGAGTAGAGGTTAGATGAATCTGTGTTAACATTAAGGTACTTCCAAAATCTTTTACCCATCGATCTGCTACGTCATTTGGGAAGTCTCTCATAAAAATTAAAGTGAAGCTATATTATTCTGCATTCTTTAACCTCACACTACTCTCATGCTACTTCCTGAATGATTTTGGAGTCTTATGCTCTCCAGAAGTTTCCACCAACATTTTTCTACACCATCAATACTGACAGAATAATTTTCTTTTTAAAAAAAGACTGTAGACACAATATTCACATATATGAGTTATGGCTGCAGTATCACCTATTGGTGTATGTTTATAGAGCCTTCTCAACACCTTCTTATACATACTGTGTATATAGTCTTTTTGTTTCTTACTGTGGATCTAACAGACAACTGATGTATTTTCTTGGTCTGTGATACTACAGTAACTGAAGACACCTGTCTTCGACTACCTCCATTTAGAGAAGTTCACTGCCAACACAGATGTCAGCAACACTGGAATTGGAAAGGTGCTATCACAAATCCAGGATGTCCAAAAGCAGGTAATGGCAGACTACAGCCAGATACTGAACATGGCTGAGAGAAACTACTGTGTCGTCTGGTGGGAGCTACTGGCCAGAAAGATGACACTGGAATACCTCCAAAAATGCCTCAATGGACAGGAGTTTCACCAATGCACCAACCAGGCTGCCCTGATCCGTCTGCTCTGCTTAAAGTTTCTGGACAAACAAACAGCCTAATGGATCCAGGGCCTCTTGGCATACAACTTCATATCCAAGCACCATCAGGGTTCAAAGCACAACAAAGCCAATGCACACTCTTGAAGACACTACCGAGAACGGCGTACTCACTGCTGGAAAGTCAAGGAACATGCACAAAACAAGAAGGTGCAGGCCATAGCCATAGATGGCTGGGGCCCCAACATCCTGAGGACAGAGCAGCTAAGTGACAACCATGTACAACCAATTCTATAGGATGTGGAGGCTGAGCAATGCCCACAATAAAAAGACACTGCTGACAGCAGCCCGCATCTACAAGTACTACTTTGCCCACTGGAGTTCCACAGTGGTAAGGGATGGCATTATGGAGCACCTACGGTAGCCAACTGACAGAGACTCCCAAGACAGCTCAAGCTCCTTCCCAGGTGCAAAGTGAAAAATGCAATGGAAAAACTCCTTGGAGGGCCATCAAGAGGACATCTGGGTGTCAATAAGATACTGGACAAAGTCAGAGAGCAGTACTATGGGCTTCGGGCAAGGAGCAATGTCAAGAAGTGGAGCTGGCAGTGAGACCTGCTTGGGGCCAGTCACAGCCCTAGAGCCTTAAACCAGGACCTGATGCTCTATTATGTCAGGGCACCATTCAAGAGACACTAAAAATGGATAGTCTACATTCCATGTTTCAGCTCACCTGTAGGGTATTGCTCAATATTTCAACTGATTCATTTAGGAGTCTTTCAACTTCCTCAACAGTAAGGCATTCATACAGGAAGTATTCAGGGTCAGTTTTGCTTGGATCCAATTGCTCTGCATCACAGTCTTCTTCAATGTTGTAATAATCTTCATAACAGCAATCATCGTCTGAATACTCCATATCAGACTCAAACTCTTCTCCAGACATCTGAAAATGAGCCACATTACCATTTTACTCAACAAACGCAACTTGCATAAACTTTCATCAATATATACATACGTTACCATGGATGTTCACAATGAGTGAATGCCGACAAATATCACTCAGAGATTAACATTCACCAATTTGGTTGATGAATATTCAAAACTGTTTTACATCTTTGTCTCTTCAAACAAATCTTGGTGAATATCTTAGCCACATAAGGTATGAGATATATGTTAACAGAACTGAACAGTCATCGGCTCATTCTTCTGCACATCCTCTGGTAATGTAGCACTAAGTGCCATCAGTCATGCTAATAATGGCATCAGATGCATACTAAAATGTGAGCTGTGATTTGATAAGATCTAATATACCGGCCATTGCTAAGTGAGAAAATAATTTTCCCATTTAGTAAAGAAAAGTATTAAAATCCAGCAAGTGAAGTTAGCATCACAAAAGCAAAGGCTACTGGCAGAAGGTGCACCATTTACTGCCATTTAAAAACATTTTCAAAAGTCGCAAACGAAACTAAGTTAATGTACCTTCAAACACAGGTAAAACAAACACTCACTAATAACAAAATGTACAACATACTTTATGAAATTCACATAAGAACCTGACACAGTGGAAGAACCCATATGCTTAAGAAAATGCAACTATGGCAAAAATTGTTCAGCCTGTCCAGTAAGAGCGACACATGCTACTTGTGTCAACACCTCCAAGTGCATTTGGCTTTATGGCATAGCTGACAGGCCAATAGCCTATACACATCACTATTACAGCATTAAATCTTCGAACAGCTACAATGAAGCGAGCTCGTAAGTTTTGTGGCTGTCAACTACAATCCCCAACCTCTGCTAGTGTAATGAACATTCAAGCAGTCAAGTTACTTCTTGAGCTGTAATGCCAGATGGCTGTTATACATGTTCATGTGAATTATCCTTGCAAAAAATTAGGAAAAAGATTCCAACATAACATGCATGGGAGCACAAAAGACAAGTGGACAGTGCAGTGGTAAAGTAAGTAAAAGTAAAGGTATCCCTTTAAGAGGCCGTGGAGGCCCATAGGGTTGTGATACACTGAGGTTCCCACAGTTTCTCGATAATCGGCTCATAGATGGCGGCAAGGTTGTCAGCCCTACATGCCGGCCACCCTTTACCCCCAAGAATATTCCTGGAACTCATTTCCGTTAGAGGCTGAGTTGACCCCAGGGCCACAGTGTGGCTGGAAAAATTAGGTAAACTGAAAAAATTCACCTTATTGGGATTCGATCCCGTGACCTTCTGGCTTGTAGTGTAGTGTCTCAACCAACTATGCTACCTCGTGCCCCCAGTGCAGTGGTCTCTCCACAAAATAAAAAGTTGCATATGATGGCCCATATGCGGCCATACATGTTGCAAAATTTGAAAAGCATCAAGTAAAACAAAAAGACATTTTGAAATATTCTGATAGTCACTTTTAGTGTATAAGATACTGGATAATTTCTGCACCAACCTGCTTCTTTTTATAGTTTATTACACCCAAAACCAAAAATGGAAGACCACCCAATATTGGAAGTATGTGACTGCTGGGTAAGGATATTCAATGCATTACACTGTGTCAAAACAAAGTAGGTTTCCATTTAGCAATGACAGACTGAGTAACAAACATTTCACTATCTTCAGTGCTCATTTCTTTTAATAAAGCATTCAACCTAAATGTACCTTGAGTATGAGGGGTAAGCCATAAAACTGGCCCTAGCACTGTGACCTTCAATGGTCTACTGTGCTTTAAATGTACCTTACTGCATGAACAATTTCAACACGAGTGTTCACAATTACAACAGCTTCTCTGATCTATAAGTACCAAAGAGGCACAGTGCAGTTCTGAGTGCATAAAAAATGCACAAGTTTATGTGTAACTATTATGAACCTGAGTAGAAAGAACGTTAACTCCATAAGCACTGAAAGAGCTGCACAAATATAATTAACATGAGCAGTGAAGTCACAGGGCCTTCAATTCACACACACACAAAATGCATGTTTGGACTAAAAGAACAAACCTCTATAATTTTAATCAAATATCATATGGAAATCATGCAAAATATGACGTGATTTACATTACCCTTAGTAATTCAGCTTGATGCAGTTGTCCTCGGAGCACTCAAAAGAGAGGTCAACATCCCAATTAGCACACGAACACCTGAAGCACACCACATTTCATCCAATGTCACTAGTTTCCAGCATCGCAATAAAGATTTCAGTTTAACTTCAGCCCTAGAGCCAGGATTTTGTTAATTTTTTGGCATGCTGTTTGATCCCTGTTTTTAAATCCCCAAAAATTCATTACTGAAAAATAGTTAAAAAATTTCCAAACTGTCATTTGTGTCTTTTGGTGTACCTGAAACATTCTTTTTATCCTCTTATAATTTTATATGCCTTTTCAATCAAAATCTGTGTTCTGTCATCATTCTCCACGTTTATGATACTCCCAGGCTGTGAAATATTACATACATCTATTCAACTCCCCCCATTTCTAATAGACAACAAAATGGGCAGTCATACTGCTGAAGGTCTCTAATAAGCTGTACTTTAGTACGTTTACAGTTTCTCTGCAATTACAGTAAGCTATTTATAAAATGTTCCTGTACAGTCATGAAAAATTTGTGACATTTTTTGCCAGCAGCAGCCACATTTTCCAGCAGCACCCATATTAAATCTTACTGACTTCCCAAATCTGTATAAATGCATATTTTGAACACTTATTGAGAACTCTGTGAACCACTCAGGTCATGACCCCTTGGATGGTTGTGATTCGCATCTAACAAACTATCCCCTACCTCCTCATTATTGTCATTCACTAATGTGTGAATTAGCACACACCTAAAGGATGTTCGCTGCTACTGCCTTAATTAAATGAGCTTTGTTCTGAGCCACTTATGTCCAAACTTTTGGTCAGCTATTGCTCTGATGGAACACCTGATCTTTTCCTGCTATCAGTGGCTGCCACATCCTTCAACTCGGTAGCTAACTTACAATCAATTAAGAGGTTTCCATAACAGTGAAAATTCATACTGTGGTCATATTCTGTGCTACAACACCATGAAATGTGGTAGGCACAATAACTCTACTGTTGTCCAGTAAGGTTCCTATAATTTTTCTTTAAAAAAACGGGACATTTCCATTTCTCCCCTACAAAACGGGCCATTTGGTAAAAAATGGGCATGATAAAAATTAATAAAAACAAAAAATCAATAATACATAATATATTAAACACTGAGAAATTTAAACATATTGTCATCTGTTTCCTATGTGACGTGACAAATAACTTCTGGCCACTTTGGATTTAGCGAATATTTATTGTACACTTTTATTCACACTCACTTAATTCACAGTGTCGCATGTACTCCTTCTGCTATAGTCCTTCCTGACTTCAACTGTACTCGGCAACTGTCAGCCTTCAACTGCACTCCTTAGTCAAAGTCGAAGTCACACTGCGACTGACGTTCAGTCAGTCAGTAAGTCTTGGTGTCACTTCGACTTTGCCAGCGCAGTCTTTCTTGGGCCCGCGTCCCTTGGCACTTGTGACCATACTTTACTGTCTCAAATTTGAGACTTCCCTTTTTGTCGCCCCCTACGACTCGCAGGGTCATGTTGGAGGTATTCGACCCTGCCTCCATACAGGATTGAACTCCTTAGGCATTCCAGTTACTCTTATAAACCCTCAGTCAGACAGCGGAAAACGCACTTACTGCTGCGTAATCGCTGTAATTACAGAGGCGCTGCTAGGCAATGCTGCTGAGAGATGTTTACTGCGACACTGTGTAGCAACCAGCACGCTTCAGCTCGGCTCGACACAGCACAAACAAACACCGCTTTCCTTACCATTGCGTAACCTCGTTCCATATCCCACTGCCCAACAATGGTTTGACATGTCACAATACAATAATGAGCTCAAAATTATTAATTTAGAACTATGGCACCTAAAAAAATCATACAAAAATAAAATGTAGGTCTTACTCTACGAAAACCTTCCCAGATTCACCTGAATATTTATCAGATTTGTGAACTTGTTCCAGAAATAACTTTTCTTTCGATATTTGGGGAAAGAACTCTAAACAAGAGAAAACTTTGAAGTGGGTCTTCACAATGGTTATGGTTTTCACAGTTTCTATTTCAGGTCTGTTTTTTTTCCATCTGACCATAACGCATTTATTATTGAGAACACACACTCAATCAGTGTGTTAGTTTCTGGCAGAGCCAAACAAAAGCAATTAGACATTTAATGTTAACAGCATTTATTTTCTCCTTTGTAAAATGAGCCAACATTTCAAACCACTTTTCAATAACAGTTTGGTCATTTTTTTTCATTCCACACTTCCACTTTGCTTTCACAATATTTTTGTAAACATGAAAACTCATCAAACAAGTCATCTTCATGCAGTGACAAATCAGGTATCACAGTCTACATGAAAACATAGTTAACTTGTACATTCTTCTAAGTCACCTTTCTCTTCAAATTGATCCAACCCACAGGCTGAAGAGACATAAGAAATGGCAAACAAAATTCCTGAATATATTCGATGCAGGTATCATAGAAGCCTTCTGCATAGTTATTCAACTTTTCAATGGCTATATGTCCTTCTCTTTCTAGTTCTTCCAGCTGATCTCTCACAGCAGTTCTAAGAAAACTGTCTTCCTACGTGTCTAACAGTTCATTAATTTCATTTTTCACTTCAATTACTGTGGTATCTTGCTTTTCAATACATTTGATGGGATGGAAAAATGTTTTTAATTGGCTGGCAAGGCAATGTAAGAGGGCGAATGAAAGTGGATTTTCAAAGAATTTCTGAATGCTGACTAGACACTTCTCAAGGGAATGGAAATATAGACACTTCACAAGGGAAAGGAAATAAGAATTTAATGTGATTAACAATTCTCTGTACTGCAGGTAAGAGGGAGAGCCATCTTGTCTTGCTATGACCCAAAACAGTTTCATACTCTGTTTTGGTAAATTCACAAAATGATTTCAGTTCCTCAACTCGTACAGAATAAATGTGAAAATGCTACTAAATCTTGTTAATTATTAACTGAAGATCAACAGGTAAGCAGTCTGCTGCAGTCTGCACTGCATGTGCAGGACAACCAATACCATTCAAGTTGTTTTATGTTTTTTCTTGAAGTTTGTAGTACAGATTATTCTTTCCTTTCCCCTTCTTACCACCAAAGTTCATTCTGGTATTATGTACTGATATTGCAATAACTTTTTCAAGAAGATCTAATTTCTGAAACACTTCTAACACATAAGAAAGTAGCAGATCTGAAGTTTCACAACCTAATTTAACTAACTCTAGCACCTTGGCCATCACACCTTTTTCTGCGAGAAAATATGTAACAATCATGGACACTAACATTTTGTCCAGGTGGTCAGATGAGTCAGTCAATACAGAAATGAAACAAGATTCTTTTAGCTCTTGAAGAATCTGTTTTGTTGCAAATGGCACAATAACACTGTTCATTATTGCTCTGCATTTTGTTTGTGAAAATATAAACTTATCATTGAAAAGTTTCCTCAAGATAGTGGTTTGTACAGTCCAGGGGTTTGAAGCTGTCATTATGCATTGCAGTATGATATGCAAAGGCTTCCTGTGCTGCTAGTGATAACTGCTTTTCCATTTCACTAATCCTCTTCATAGTTAAGTAGTTACTTATATTGTTATTGGAAGCTTTGTTCTGAACAGCCAGTTTATGATTTATTTTTGTTTCCACATGATCGACGATATCAACCGACCATCATTTGGATAGCAAGATTTCAAGTTGCATAACATGCATTCAACATTCTCATTCACACCTTTGAAAAACAGATATTGGCTCTTAATAATGTCAGTAATACTGCACTTGTGTTTACCATCACTATATTGATGAAAACCAATAAATTCTCACATGCTCCCACAACACAACATAACGGTCGACAAAGAATGCAGAGAGTGATACAAAGAGAATTTCCATTATGGAAGGAAATCTAAATACTACCAACAGAAATGGAAAAGAGACATACTGCCAAAATAAAAATGAACAATTTGTGAAACTGTGTTTTGTGGAATAGCCACCAGGCGTGTTAACAGAAAAGCCAATTGCAGAGAATAGCATCAGTTACGAAGCGGTTATTGACAGAAATTAATGTTACAGAAGTGCACTTAAAAAGCGGGACATTTGAAATAAATCTGGGACAGCAGGACATTATATGAAGTCCTGGGAAAAACGGGATGAATGGTAACCCTATTGTAGAGGTGTGTTTACCAATCTGTTACTTAGAAATGGGCTGCATAACACTACTGTTCTATTGTTGAATGCGTGTATGTTATGGGTGCTACCTAGCAATGGTCGCTGCTTACAGAGTCTCCACTTGGCAATGGGTCTATATGTAATAATACTGACAGATAAACAAGCTGTCATTATCTTCAACAAGGGTAATGTGGGAAGAGCTGAACTCCTGAAGACCCACTCATGCCTTACAATAGATGAAGAATTTCCTCAAGTTCGATGACAAACATCAAAGGAGAAATTACATTCTCATGGCAGTGAATACTAAAACTGTGATCTGGAGTATAACAAATTACAGATCATATCCCACACAACTATCTATCAAACTACACAACATCACATCCCTGGCAACCATCTACCTAACTATACAGCATCACATCCCTAGTAACCAAACTACACGACATCTGCTAAACACCTACCAAATTACATCACATCTCTGCAGGCCAGTCTTAATCTGCTTTCTGTAGCAGCATGAGGGGGGAAGACAACTCCCAGTCACCCTAAGCACTCAGACCATTGTTGGGTCCACTGTGTGCTCCCATCTCAGTAAGGCCCTTCAGAATACCCAGTCTTCAATGCTAGGGTGAAAACCTTTTCAACTGATGCCCTTACGTTATCTATCAGTTCTAACCATGCAGAGCCAAAGACCTCCATGACCAGCGATAACTGTGCGCAGAAAGGGTACATGGTAGAGGATTCCTCTTCCTTTCCACAATTCCTGCATGTGGTGCTAACCAAGAAGCCTATAGCATGTAGGTACTGTCTTAAGGTACAGGGGCCAGTCAGCATCTCTGTTAATAGCTTACACTGTTTCCTGTACAAGTCCACCAAATCACTAAACAATTCATGTGAAGACCCTTCAATGCTGAACTCTGACTGCATCTTACCCAGTGTAGCAACGCTCTGCATTAAGTTTTGTCAACTTTTGATCAGTTTGGTAAAGAAATATGAGACCTTCGCATGACACAGGATTTCTGTTTTTTCATAGAAACAGAAAATATCCCACAATAAGTTCAGCAGTTAAAAGTGGCAAAAAAAAAAAAAATCATACGTCCAATTTAACCTCTCTAATAAATTTATCACATCAGCTTTATGCAGCTGGAAAATATATTCCTAGATAACATACAGCAGCTTTTTAAGGAAACAATTTATACAGCATCTCTATAAACTAGATAAACTTAGTAAATATAGATCCATAAATGTGAAATTTTACATTGTTTCAGTCATGTAATTAGTTACAGAGAAAATTTGAAGAAAATTCTCTGAATAGGTTAGCTCTCAGATACAGAGACTTAAGAAAGTTTTAAGCCTCAGACATTCTTGAAATGTATCTATTTTTCAAAATAATACAGCTGATGCTCATGTTCACACAACTCAGTACTATGACCATTATTATATTTCTAATTAGGGCATGGGAATTTTTCTATTTACCATCCAGCTTTTTCATGGAATAAGACAGCTATGGAATAAAGCTGATAACTCATCTCCATCTAATGCCCAGGTTAAGAATTCAATAAACTCCAGACCTATTATACACCTTCCCAATGTGATAGGTACTGAAACTGATTTTCACATGTATGTGAAAGAAATAAGAAGACCGCCTGTGGTCTAGTGGTCAGCGTTCCTGGCTACAGATCCAGAGGTCCGGGTTAGATTCCCAGCGCTACCAGATTTTTTCGGAGAAGTAGTGGGTCTGGAACAGGGTCCACTCAGCCTCGTGATGATAACTGGGGAACTATTTCAAGGAAATAGCAGCTCTGGTCTAGAAAACCGAAATTAACGGCTGCGGGGATTTGTTGTGCTGACCATGCGACACCCTCTATCCGCAAAAGTTGGCAATAAACTTTGCAGACAAGCAGCGGTCGCTCAGTCGGTATAGTTCACTTGCGAACTAAAATCACGGAGTTTTATTTTATGTGAAAGTAAGAAAGTGCTGAGCTTCAGGAACTGCTTGGTATCCCAAACGAAAAATGTCTGCTCCCTAGCAAAACTTTGTATATTTTCTTAAAACAAAAATGCCAGTGAAAATAAGCAGATTAGATAATGATCAAATTTGATGATAAAAAGAAACTTTATATCTAATGTGAGATCCAAGATTTCACATGACAGTGTGACTGTACCTTAATACTGTCTTGTATATGGAGACTATGAGGTTATTGTTATGTTATATGGAATCACTGTGTAAATTAATATGAAAGAATATGTAGAATATGCAGGGCTTGAGGTGGGGCGGGATGGCATCCCGGTTTTTTTCTAAATGGCTTAAAAGCATCCCATTACTTCTTCGGCAGTAAATGCAATGTACAATATGTCTATGAATTAAAAGGGGAAAACCATCCCGGTTCTATTTTCATTCCACCTCAAGCACTGAGAATATGTAATAACTTTCGACAAAGACTGTACAAGTGGAGTATTGTAACTCAGACTTTCATCAATGCTATTTGTTGAAGCTACCAAAATTATCTTGTTTTGATGTTAGAAAATGAGGGAAACTATTGACAGTCTCGCTCTTAAACTTTCCATGCCTGACCCTGAGGATGCATTAGTAAAGGCCCAAGACATTTGGGAAAATACCCAAATAGATAATATGTCATAAACTGATAGAACACTCTGGAAAGCTTCCATTAGGCAACACCTCAAATAATTGGTATAAATACTGAGTCCATAGCAGTCGCAAATCACTTTATCACTGATCTGATATGAAGTTTAGTCCTTGTGGACAGTACTCTGTCAGTCAGGGGGAAGTCAGCCTTGTGCGAACGGCCTTACACATTTACCTGCCTGTATAGGTGTTACATTTCTTGCGTGTAATAAACATCTTGTTTTAAGCTACGTCTTCAAGCAGTTCTCATTTCCACTGGTGACAGCTCAACCATATTCTGCTCAACCAATCCGTCATACCCAGACTACAGGCACCCTACACAACAGTGCTATTCAAAGAGGGGTATGCAACAACTGCTCAAATCAAACCACTGTCACATGACATTCAGATACAGAGCAGGCAGGAAGAAGCATGTGCAGAAAGTGCATAACATAATAAAAAATAGTGGAGAGGGGCAATGGGAAATATTCAGAATTAAGTCCAAACCAATTTCATACACAGAACCAGAAAAAAACATTAATGGATTGCTTCTGACAACACTGCAGTAAAAAGTGAAAGACTGGTACAGACTGAGGGAGATATGGGATATAGAGATTGAAGGAAGCTGTAAACAAACTTACAGCAAACATTGAAATAATAGAGGATAAGTTAGGGAATATAATAATTTAACTACCACACTGTCTAAAATTGTACTTCTTAACGTCAGATTTATGGTTCCCATTATAGTGACTATGAACAGTGTGTGTGGTCTTCTGAGTTATAACGTCGTGTAGTTTGGAGAAAGTCTGACATTTCAGAGGAACGTACCGCCCTCGTACGTTAGTTTCTTGCTTGGCTTACTTTTCAACCCTGAAGATAAGGGCAATATGTTCCCTGAAAATGTCAGGCTTTATAACCCAAATGCCTCTACCCTGATTCTTAATTTCTGTGACTATCACCATATTAACATGTTATATATTTGAGTGCATCCTTAAAAATGTTCTGTGCACCAAAATGCATGAGTAAGCTACATAACAAAGACAGCAGACTGTAACCAAACTATTCATGTACAATGAAGACAATGTGACCTCTAATAATATAGTATGTTTATAGAACAAAGTTTGAATGATGATGCATAACCATGAAAATCCAGTAATCTGTAATAAAGCTGAACACAGTTCACATGTTGCATGCAGACAAACGAAACTGCATATTCATCCCTTTTCTTGTGCTTGACATTTATGCATAAACACTGCGGTATTCAATCTAAACGTACACTCACACAATTTTCAAAGGCACTTCTGACGTCCTAATTAAAGATCTCGGTTATTATTATTGTGTTAGGCAATAAAATAAATAATGCAGAAGTGCTATGTCACAGTTCTATATAACATACATGATACAATATGCTGTAATTATGAGATTACCGTAGGGAGGATTAACGATTATGAATAAATAAATAATTTCTAGCATAGAAACCTGAGCAGTTTCATAACAAGTCTGATATCCCGATGGGGCTCTAATAAAATAAACAGAACTTACACAATGATACTTCTGGTGTAACTACACAGGCATACTCCTAACTCCATTTCACACCTCTAAAATATGATCACACGGTCGGGTTACCTACACTAACGCAACGTACAAGCACAAAGACAATACTCCAACACTTTTTAAAGGAAAGGTTTACAGAAGTACAATTAGGAGCATAGTAACTTACCCTTCAGTGTTCCCGAGTTCAATAAATATTCTCGCAACTATCATATGATACTTATAGTATGTGCTTTATAGCACTCTATAGTACACAAATAACATTCCTCTGAGCATATCTAACTTCAATCCCAAATCAAATTCGCTAACGTACGCTTAACCACTGCACTGAACACACATCCCTGCACACTGGTTACATCATATGCTTATCCATCTAGGACGATCTAGGAACCATAACGCAATATCCAGAGGATTTGGAATTGGCCTTGACGTAAACATAATGTGATAAATTTTATACCCCAAACATCATTAAAAGAACAACGCAACACATTGTGTAAGGTAGAGCTGTCCCTGTGCTTAACCAATTAAGCACTACACTATGATGGCGTGTAAGAGACTGGATGCATACACCCACATTTCCTTGACCTCGACACTAGTTGGAGGTGACTGGTCAGTTTCAAGCCCCGGCCGCTTTACCCTCGGGTAAACAACCGCAGGATCCCATTGGATAGGAGGTTGGGCGGGCCCGAGAGCCAGTCTGGACGACGTGAAGAAGGGAAAATTCTTGACCCTACCGGGACTCGACGGCCGACCCCTCGGTCGTCCAGTCCGTAGCCAGTCGCTGTACCAATTACGCTATCCCGGCCCCTATTATATTGTGTATAGATTCCATATGTATTTTAACGTCGAGAACGTTATTATGCGAGGGTGTAAATGGATGAAGCCGTGACACTCAGCGTAACACTTGTGAAATTTTGAAATAACTGTAATATGTATAGGCAACGGCTTGGTAAACACATCTATGTAGCGGAGGAACGCAATAACTCTACAGTTGGAAAAACAGGGACTCAGTTGCTAGGATTTCAATGCACGCAGTGTAAATTTAACTGTTGAAGATCTACTGTTGGAGAAGGTTATTTCTACGCGGTTGGCCGAACGATTATATGAGTAGACTTTCAACTGCCTGGGGGTATAACTGGGCCAACCTATTCCTGGGGGATATAACTACGGGGACCTGGCCCTCAAGGTTGGGGGAATCTCGAAACTGAGACAGTAAAATACGGCCACGAGGCCCCCGAGACTCGGACCCGAGAATGACTGCTCTGCCGAGGACCAGCAGCAGTCGTAAACGACAGACCCGTTCTCTCGTTAGAGAGAGCGCCCCACATCAACCAACCCGCAACTGTCTGACAGTACTAAAATGTGGTCGTAAGCCCCAGGTGTGTGTTTGACACCAAGACAGAATGGCCGACTGACCGTCGGTCGTAACATAACTTTGGCTTTGACTTTGCCAGCACTAAACCGTAAGAGATGGATCTGGACATATTGCGAGTGAAATTCTGTAACATGTCTAGGCAACGGCTTGGTAAACGCAGTAACGCAATAATTGTAATGTTGGAAGAGGTGAAAATCACGTAAGTGTATTAGCTCAGAGTTTCCAGATATGGACGTTGCTCAGTTTAAGGCACGTGTAAGGGCGGCCGCACACCAACTGCGTCAAGACAAGCATCAACACATGGGACAAAAGACGCGGTCTTGGTTCATTCGTGATTAGTCAGCATGAAGCTGACGTCAGCATCATGACTCAGATCGGTGTGTGGCGGTTTTCATAATCTCATTCGTTTCAACTATGCTCCTTTCTTTGAGTCATGTCGCAGACATCTTGTCTTGACCGTTACATGTCTAGACGCATGCCGGTGTGCGGCCTACCTAACGTGTACAGAATTACAGCAACACTAGATAATCAAGTACCTAGTCTATCAAGCAGTAACGGCTTTATATATCCGCCCTATCCAAAGCATTTGCCTCCATTGGACTGTATAAGCGAAAGGCGTGTGGCCCCAAGACTTCCATTTGTGCAAATCAGAAGACTGAGACATCATATGGGACGATATGGTACTGTAGGGCAATAATGCATTTGTGGTAATGTATACGTTTTCAGCGCTAATCCTGAGAACCAAAGTTCCTCAATCACTTTTTTTTCCAGTCTCGCATTCTGAATGTCATTGTCCGAAATGCTCTTTGACGTATTAACAGTACTTGCTACAAGTTTCATTCAGTTCTTACACAGCTGCCTTTCAATAATCTGTAGAGTATCCCAAGCCAAAGTTAACATTTACATTTTTAAATTAATAGTCCTTCATTCTTCATTGAACTGTTACTTTCTTACTTTTTTACTGTACAGATGTCAAGACATAAGTAGACCATACAAACAGTCGGGTGACCGACACACAGGCCTGGATCATCACCAAATGGACACATGCTACATATTCACCTATAAAAAAAAACAAGTGTAGCTGTATGTAGGTCTACACATATTCAACTTCACAAATTCATTACTTTGATTACATGGGTTATTAAATTTACTATGGTCAGTACAGTTGCCATGATTCTTGTAGTTACCACGATACATTTCGGTGTGGCGCTGGTGTCGCTCCTGCCTCTCAAGTTTGTGCAGTAACCGTGGTTCAGTTGATATTACCGAACTTACCGACTGTAGGAAAATCTAACTTTAAAGTAGGCTAAAAGGAATTAGAGCGATTATATTTCAACATTTGCGGGCACTATTCACAGCAGAATAAAGAGTGCCATATAGCATTCTCTTACACCCGTCCCCACACGCTTCATTTCCACGCGGTGTATGCCTCGACTAAATTCAGCGGAATGAGTCTTACATCCCAGGGGTACACGGGTGTTGGCTCGCTTACGTCGTTTTTTGGATGCGGGCTCGATCGGTTAACCCCCTAGCACAGGTTCCACAGGAATACCCTCACTACGCTCACTACCTGGCTTCTACTCCCTGACCCCTCGGCTTCCACTCACTAACTCCTCGGCTTCTACTCACTGACTGACCCCTTACCCCCGCTGCTGCTTCCAGAAACCACGTTCTTTGCCATCTCGAACTTTCCACTGGGAGGGCTTGATGACCAAATGCACGGACCCCTTCCGGTCTGCACACCTTCTAGAAGTTTCTCGAAGCTTCGATCCACAGGTCCTCCACCCCCACAGGCACGGACGAAAGAAGGTATACCTACTCCCCCTTGAATGCAATGGACTCACCAACCTCCCTTCAGTCCCTCGCAACAAAAGGCCAGTTCAGAGGACCATGATCCCTCCGGGGCATCTCACTTCCACAGCCAAACCCAATCGCCAAGCATAAACAGATAAGATACCTCCGTGAAGGGTGCGTACGGTTACACTCTTTTTAAAGATCTGATTTTATACTTTCAATTTATATGGCACCAATTATGAGTTACTTGGAGACAGAAACTAACATAAATACGAGTCATATGGTTAAATTTGCTGCAGCACAAGAAACTGGTTAAATATATTGCACATTAGGTAAATTTGTCCCAGTGCTTAACTAATTAAGCACTACGCCAAGAAGACATGTAGGGGAGTAAATGTATTGATCCACATATTATTGACTAGCTGGAAGTGAGTGGTCAGCTTCACGTCCCAGTCGTTTTATCATCGGGGAAAGAGCCCTCTATACCAATTAGGCAGGAGGCTGGGTGGGTCCAGAACTGGTCTTGATGACGTGGAGAGGAGCTAAATCTAACCACTACCGGGACTCGAACTCCAACATCTCGGCCGTCCCTGAAGATACTACATCGTCATCATCATTAGTAATCTGTCAGACAACAGGTCCACGGTCTCTTCCAAAACAATTCCTCCACTTACTTAATGCGATCTAGAGCTTTCTCCTTCAAATGACAGTATCCTCTTCTGTCCCCAAGGTCATCCAGCATCTTCTTACGTCTTCTTCCTCGTCTTCTTGTCACTTCTATCCGCCCCTCTATCTTTCCTTCAATAACTTCTTTTAGAAGGCAGTTTCTGCGTAAAACATGACCAATCCAATTAGCCTACATTTGCAGTTTTATTTAGGGTGATAGTATCCATGATTTAATGGAATTCTATCAAAATTGCGAGAGAAATTTTCGATAAAATCGTAATTTTGTTCTTCTTTGGAGGAGGGATTTTAAGATTCATAGAGTTCAGAGTTGCCGGACACAGACCTGTAATGGACGAACTCCTAAACACTGAGTATGAACAAAATTCGTCCAACCGTTCTGGCGCCAGTGAGAAGGACGTTTATACGTACTACGTACATATGTGTATACACAGACGGAGAAAAATGATAAAGGGACGGCATTCCAGAAGCCATTTTTTTTTTCATATTCAAGGGGGCCGACAACTTGCAAGTGCGTCCAAATCTCGGTATCAATATTTTCTCATACTGTCTACATGAGAAAGTAAAGAAGTAGGGGGGGGGTTAATGGGAATTTGGTGAAAATCAGGAGTGGCTTCGTGGGAAAATCGTCGGGAACTACTGGAAGGGGCTGAGGTCTCCTGAATCCTATACAAACACTTCCTTTGCAACGTAACTCTTAGTTTAGGTTATTATTTTCTTTTTAGGTCTAAACTCGACAGAAATTTCTGAAAATTAAAGTTAATAGCTGCTAGAATCTGATGTTTCTATTCCACTGTAAGTGCACTTACAAAGAAAGTGGAATTCAGTAAGTGATTACTGACATCCAATCCAGACGAAAGAGAGAACGCGGAAATTTTTGTCAGCACTGAATAATTCTCACTCTGTGCGCACTTATCAGTGACATGAGGATTGACAAACAGAGAAGGAGGGTTGTATATACATGGATACATCTTCAGAAAAGGAAATATCTATTGAAGGTGAAAGTGACAATTTGTCATTCCCTCAGGATCCATCCTATAGCTCTAAAGATAGCACAACCGAAAAGATTTTTTTTTTTCAATTTACCTAATCCTTCCAGCCTCATTATGGCCTTGGGGTCAACTTAATCTCTAGCAGAAATGAGTGTCAGGAACCTTCTTGGGCGTAGAGGGCCGCCGGCGCGTAAGGCTGACAACCTCACTGCCATCTGTGAGTCGATTGTCGAGAAAACGTGGAAGCCTCGACATCTTACAATCCTATGGGCCTCCAAGGCCTGATACACGGTTAGTTTTGCTTTTTTACCTTTATGATGCTTAATATAAGCATAGTATCAGGCACTCAGACTTCGTCTGAAATATAACAATGATTTGCACAAAATACAATGACCGTGTACTTGTGTTGTGAATGTACATGCTCTGAGAACAAAGATTCTCGACCGATATGAACATCTTGGAAGCCATAGGTACTGCTGCACGATGCCTATCACGACCTTCTAGTAAAGAAATAAAAGAAAAAATTCTGTATGTACAGGATCGGTTTATATGTGACACAGCCGTAAAAATCTCTAATTTGAGTTATTAAATGACAAAACGGACATTTTTTACATTGGTTCAATGTTTTACAACTTCATTTATTCTTCTTCTCATTCTATTTTTCATATT